CATATTCTCATTTATTACACAAGCATTTGTGAAGTAAATAACTAAATACACGATGCACCAAGACTGAGTGGTTTGATAAAGTTCCCTCAACTTTCTGTATCTCTTATTTTTCTATCAAACCAAGTGCCTAACGGATGCTTTGGAATATATATACCAACTTAAAAGCCCCAGCATTTCAACTTCAAAGTCCTTGAGACCTCAATGAGAAGCAGGCTAAAATGGACAATAGCTTTGAAGACTTGCAGGCAATTATTACAGTTGGTAAAGCATACTATTTGCAATGGTTAATCTTAGTTGAAGGGCAAGAAAACCATGTCTCGGGCTGCAAATGGTATCCGTTTGTTTAAATTGAATAAGTTCGATCTGCTTGAGGGTGATCCATATTTGATTTATTTATAATTGGATTAAATATGGATCCACCTTTAGGCTTTATCTAATACAATATGATCCGATTCCATTTGATTTACATATTTATGCTTATATATACCTAAAATTATATCTATTAGTAAAATTGTTCTAAATGTTGTATATTCACTAGAGTCAAAGGTTCAAACTTCAAGCAAGCAAGTCTAGGAGATTAGGACAACCCGATTTTTTTTTTTTGGTAAGCAGTCAAGAAAATTCATTGATCATTAGAAGATAAAAGAGATACACCTGAGTTCTCAAACGGATTATACAAGTATACAACCAAGATTGGGGGTGAATCCCGCCATTCCACTTTGTTAGTACAAGACTTATAGCAATCAAGTGAGCTATGCTATTAGACTCTGTTGACGAATTGAAAAATACTTCCTACAACCCTTAAGATCAGCAACAATATCACACAAGATTGGCCAGATTTCACTTGGGGGAGAACACGGCTGAGAATTTAAACAGTTTATTAGTACTTCAGAACAAGGTTCAAAGTATTGATACGTATTGGCCCGTACCAGTCAACATGTATTGTGCTGGGAGCTTCCCGATATGCTCATACAGGGGTTATATCGGGTCAGATCATGATTCAGAGGGTAACCAGGACTTAAACTGACCCCTCTATATTAATTTTAAAAAAATAAATAAATAAAACATAAAAAAAGCATTGCTTCAGAATCTTCTCCGTCCAGTGGACTAGTGGAGGCCCAGACCTTTTAGATTTCTTAAGGCTTTGACAACACACGAAGGGTGTAAGAATGTCATTTGATTGTGATTCTCAGTCGTGTTTAAGTCTAGGTAAATTCTAGACTTACCTACCATGATAGGTGTACTTCACAATCATTTGATTGTGATTCTCAATCAGTAAGTTTCTAGACTTACCACCATGATCTATCTACCGACCAGTTCTTTGGAGATATTCCAATATTCCCTCAACACTTGGCCTAATAACAAGTCTTAGAATCTTGTATCTCACTGACAATAATCTTAGTCATCTTATCCTCCAAAAATCTCACTGGTCTCATCCCAAAAACTATTGACAATTTGTGCAAGCTGATCGTTTCTCTCTCTCTCTCTCTGAAAATCAGTTGTCTGGTCCTATTCATATGGAGTTAGGAAATTTGAAAACTCTTACTAGGTTAAGCTTAAATTATAACCATCAAACAGATTTCATTCCATTTTGGGAAACTTAACCAAACTCACCATCCTGTCTATCTAGAATAATGAATTGTCGGGTCCCATTCCTCGACAAATTGGACAGCTTGAGTCTCTTGTAGATACGTTCTTGCATAAAAAAATTGATTCATCTTTACCTCTTTCAAAATCAAGTCTGGTCCCATTCCGTTTTCTTTAAAGAATTTGAGCAGATTGAATCATCCAACCCCATACAAAAATCAATTGTCTGGTCCCACTCCTTCCTCCTCTTTAGGCTTAGTTTGGGAAAAGTAGAATCTGTACAATGCAAAAACAAGATTTAGAAATACAATATATAAGGTTTGCTCTTTACACATTTGTATTTGTACTCTTCCCAAACTAAGCCTTAGGGAAATTGAGCAATCTAAATCATCTAGTCCTCTATCAAAATCAATTGTCTGCTCCAATTCCTATGAAGTTCGGAAACATGAAAAAGCTTACGATTTTAAATAGTAACAACCTAACAGGTTTCATCGTTCCCATCCACATTGGGAAACTTAACCAACCTAATCACTTTCTATCTTGATGATAATGAATTATCAGGTCCCATTCATCCACAAATTGGGCAGCTTGAGTCCCTTGTATCCATCCCTGCTGCTTTTGGTAACATGAGAAATTTGAAAGAACTAGCCCTCTACCAAAATCAATTTTCTGGTCGCATTCCTTCCTCTATAAGTGACTTTAAGCAATTTGATTACTCTTATCATTCTATGAAAATCAATTATCTGGTTCTGTTCCTCAAGAAATAGGAAACCTCTAATTGAACTAGAGTAAATTACCTCTCAGCTGGTTAATTCGTATCACAGCTATGGATGGGAGGCTTACTTCATTCAGAAATTCACTGCACTCAACAACCATTTTGTAGGTCCCATTCCAAAAGGCTTGGGAAACTCCACTAGTTTTAATAAGAGTCAAATATCAGAAGCTTTCGGTGTGTATAAAAGTCTGAATTATATTGGTCTGGGCAATAACAAAATGTATGGTGAGCTTTTAAAGAATTTGGGAGGATGAATTGCCAAAGTTTGGAGACACTGAAAGTGTCTGGAAATAAGATTTCTAGTAGTATATACTAGCTGAGCTTGGGCAATTAACTCAACTAGGTATACTTGTCTTTAAATCATCTAGTGGGAGAGATTCCAAAAGAATGACCCCTTTGATAAACCTGAATTTGAGTAATAGTCAACTTTCTGGCAAATTGTTGCCGGAAATTTGTGGAGCATTGCAGAACCTAGAAAGTCTAGATCTATCAACAAACACCACACTTTTGCAATACCCAAACAATTAGGGAATTGTTTCAAGCTTCTCCATTTGAATTTGAGGAAAAATAGATTGAATGAGAGCATCCCATTTCAAATTGTTAATCTTGTTGTATCCTCCAAGATGCTTTGGATCATAGTTTGTAAGAGAAAATAAGATCACAGGAGAGATACCACCTCAGTTTGGAAACTTGGAAATTTTGGAAAAGCTAAACCTTTCTCACAATAAGATCATTGGTTCTATTCCTTCCACATTTACTGAAATGCTCAGTTTGACATCCATTGATATATCTTACAACGAGCTTTTTTTTTTTTTTTTTTTGCTTCATTCGGCTACACAACGGGATCTATTTGAAGTATGGAATTAGGATGGAAGGATTGTGTACAAGGACATTATTATCTTAGAAATATTAGTAGAAAGATGAAAAGAGAAGAGAAGAAAAGAAAGGAGAAGAGAAGAGAAGAATGGGAGGCAAAAAGTTCTATTGGCGATTCTAACAATAGTATTTATACTAGGGCGATCAAATTGAATTTGAATTCCATTACAGAATCGAATATTGAAATAGATTTAAATTTGATTTAATGTATAAACACTAAAAACCCTAATTCTAGAGATCAGATTGAGTAAGAAACCTTCCGATGTGTGACTAGTGAACAAGAAAGAAAGACTTAAAAAAAATCTAGAATAAGGAAAAACACCTAAGAAATCCAATATAAGAGAAAGAATGATGGAGGCCCATCCCAAGGCCCACCTCACCATTAGGAGCGGCAGCTCATAGGATAAGGATAAGAGTCCAAGATAAGTCAAAAAAGGATAATTCAATATCCATCAAGACTTAATCCAAGACTCTAAGACTTATCAAGAATTCCAGACTTCAAGAATCATCAAGAATTCTAGAGACAAGATAACCAAGATTTCCAAGACTTCCAAGATTCATGCATAGATGAGTTCCAGGGAGATCGGACGGTGGAAGATCAAGCCCAAGAATGTTCGATCTTATCAAGACAGCCCAAGAATGTTCGATCTTATCAAGACCAAGATCAAGATCAAGAATAGTCCAAGATTCATGCAGATTAGGATCTATCACAACTCTCTTTCCTAATTACTTTACAATTTCCAGATGTATTATAAATACTGCTACTGTTTTCAGTTAATAGACACTTCAGAATTTCTTTAGATTTCCTCTTCAATTTTCGCCACCTTTTCTCTCTCCTAGAGAAATCGTGTAGTTTCGCTAGAAACTAGTGTTCGCCCGGTGCTTGCATAGCCAGCTCTGGTTTTCCATTGCCTCCACGTTGCGTCAGATGGTACCAGAGCAGGGAATTCGCCCAATCAGATGGCCAACCCAGACGGTAGCAGTCGCAACCCACCCCGTGACGGAGATCAGGGGTTACAAGCTGTTTGGAGAGCGATTGAAGAACAGCGCACAGCCACACGTAACATCGAACAACAGTTGGCAGAAATCGCTGGACAACTGCGAACCTTGTTACGGGAGGATGTTTCACGGAACCGGGAGAATCCATACCCAGTCGAAGGAGATGACCACGACAGACTTGTATCCCGGCAACCAACTCTTGACGATGATAGTGATGATGAGCTCGAATTTGGTGGTGCTCCAGTTTTTCCCGGCGACGACAAAAACGGTAGAAA